GTGTGTATGGAAATGCTAAGAAACACTGTTATGACAGACGAGAAATGTTTATTACTAGGATGGCTCGAGAAAAAAGTAATATCGCCCTTTTTTCCTGCAGTCACGATAATATAGTTAGTTATCTATATAGAAGTACATAAAATACGTTAGTCGTTCGTCATTAAGAAAAGCGCTGTTGGTATTTTTTTATGAAAATGTGTTGAGCGTTGTAAGCAGAAAATCAACGAACACAAATTTGTGAGATAACAAACAGAATATAGCAAAAGCACGGCAGAAAGGACGACATAATTCACATGCTCGATTCAATGCGCGATTTTAATGTTTGGAATTCGAAGCATTGGGAGCAACAAGCAAAGAACCAAAATGCGGGTACGCCAGTGGTGATGTGTTATACAGATTGCGAATTTTCGTGGGTTACATATTTGTGTCGATCGACTTTGTCAAATTAATTGAAACTACAGTTGTTTAAATTCAAAGCTCTGCTTGAAAACATGGCTAATTCTAATAACCATCCACAACACCTGCGTCAAACGTATTATGAAATTAAAACGTTAACAGTAAACAGTTCATGATAGGTACTAAAGCGAAGGGCTGTATTATGCAATAAAAGACATAACCATGCTATCAGACATACCATATGAACACGTTACTGCACATTAAGATCTCGTTATAAATGGTATAAAAGATGCATACTAATTACTTACACTGCTTAAACTGTTATTAAATTGACTTCAGTAGACAACAATTGTCTTCGCAGCAATTACATTTGTTAACAAAATATTAATTAAAAATGTGTCTACCTAATTGATAGCAGAACAGCTGTGTTAAGGGAATGAAGGAACTAGTGAGAAGTAATCGCAACATGAGTGACAAAATTACTTACGCATGTGGCTCGTTTCTAAAGGTATGTAATTTTTATTTTTAAAAAGGTAGGCAATGTTGTACGGAATAAGGCACTTAATAAACTGCCATTAATAACTATTTCGCGGTATACGTTATAATTCTGTACAGTGTAGTCAGTAAGAAGTAGAAATGATGTTAAAAAATTGAGACAAAAACGACATGCTCTCGAAAAGCATCTAGTCATAAAACTGTATATACAATTGAACGGTCGCGCACGGCTTCGGCGTTTAATTATTGTTGCCACCGCGATGATTGTTGCGATTTCCTTATAAGGCGCACGGCAATTTGTTTGATTACCCGCAATTGCCAGCTGATGTTTTAACCATTAAAATTGTAAACGCAGCCGTGGATAGCAAGAAATTGCTATGATTGCCGATCGCACTACTATTTATCACCTATCATCCGTTTCCAGTGCATAAAGTCCGGAAACAAAAACAATCAACTCTCGATAAAGTAAAGATAAGTAAGTGTGTATTATGCGAACCATTTTTTTTGGTTTCCATAGATGTTTTGCAATGTTTGATCTGGAAAAAGTTGAATACGCTAATGCGTAATTCTCAGGATGAAACTATCTTACCTAATTTCGGTGACAATTTTCATGAAGTATTTAACATTTTAGAATGTTATCATTAATTATCATGAAGTATTATTTAATATTCGAGAATAGTATCCTGAAAAAGTATTCAATATTTCGCGTTAATATACAAATACTTACATAATAAAAATTAGCACCGAAATTAGGTGGAGAAAACAAACCTGAAAATTACCCAATAATCGTTTGTAAAACTCGAATTTTTACTGCGTGAGGTATTGAGCTATCGTCGAATGGATGAACCCATTGACAAAAATTACTCTTGTAGTTGTTGGAATCACTGTTTAGACTTCGTTGAACCGTGTCCCGTGTAAATATAAATAAGGTAAACAAAAGAAACCTCATCATTGTGGTAATCAGTGAACATAGGCGTGAACAGACATGTTTCGCATATCGTCTGATCCATCATACCCCCCCGCCCTTAACATAAACAAGCAAATCCTTACTTAATTTCAGTCAGAGAATTCAATCAGAATGTAAAGCTTTATACCCTGCTGTAATGTTATAATGCCTTACATTATCCCCCTGTAGACACCCAACTCGCGACAGTACGGAACCTTTAATTATTATCAACACGTCATATTCATGCCAGTTTCCCAAATAATAGGGCTGTCGGCTACGGAAATGGAAATCGATCAAAGTAATTTGATGAAATCTCATACTTCTTATGTCCAACGAAAAAGTTTATTTTTGTACCGCGTTTTAAACGTGTTTTCTTAAAGCTTACAAGGTTTATTTACTTGTTAAATTAAATTTGTTTTAAATTTTACGCTTTACAGATGTAACTATTAACCTTTTCGTACAAAATAATCTACTCGCGAATATAAGGCACATCTAAAAATGAGTATCAATTTTGATTTACCGCCTAGATGTCGATCAGTAACCCTTTGCCGAACACGTGGACCGCCACATCCCTTCCACGCATTTCATATTCGTATTTCCATTCCCTTCAACCTTCATAGGAGGATTATGTTCTGCCTCCGATGTTTTCGTATCCTATTATTTCACAGGGTGAAAATGGGCCACCCGCTCCCTCACGCACTCATTCGGAGATTGACACCCTTAGCTTACATGTGTGACGTGTGTACATAAAATTGTACATTTGTGAGGCACATATTTTACTGATAACTCAGTGAATGTGTGCGTCTGTTTCATCAACTGTAAACCACTGTCAACTACTCGTCAAAATAATATTGGCTTAACTCAGAATCCCGTTTGCAGATGGAACACAGAAACTAGATATATACACGTATTTAATTATGAAAGCTGTAATGTTATAGATAATGGAAAACTATTTGTTGAATATTAAACGGGTTTTTTAAATCACGACACGTGGTTGAAAATGTAATTAAATTGGATTCTAGAAAATGTATTAATTCGATGTTCAGTAACAAGTATCAAGATTGCTTAAGAGGCATTCGAATCTTCGATCTTAAGCTTCGAATCTCAAAACAAACCTCTCACGGGCCCATCCATCTTCTAACTAATTGTAAAATAATTAAAACCAACTAAGCATAGACGTGTCTACAAGGAACTCTACAAGTTCACGTAGAGACAGTTATATTGTATTTTTTTATTAGTTACAAACGTTTTCAATCATCTCATTTCCGTTCAACCGTAAACGAATACAAGCAGGACTCAATTGTCTAAATTATGCTTTATATACGCTCGTGTGTGAAATTGCCCCCAATAAGAACAAAACTAAACAACGCCTTTCCAAAGTGTTTCGAATTGCAAATTTTAGGGAAAAAAGCGAACTACACTTAAAAGTCAAATGCGGCAGTGCGCGATAAGCAAGTGCCGCTTATGCAAGATCACGAATGTAATTGCTCCCTTGTCTGGCACGACACTTCACGCCGGAAGGGGACGAAACATGCAAAATATGGTGGAGAAAACGAGACGAAACACAGAAAAGTAAACAACAGCCTAAGCGCCAAAAATGATTGATTGCTAGCCGTCTTGCGCTGAGCTCTATTTAATCACTTTATTCCCTTTTCTCCGTTTGTGTTGGGATAATTTTGTATTTGTGTAATTTGTATATGAAATGAGGAGGCATACCTCTGGAGGAGACGGGGTTCATATCCGGCGCCTATCCGGGCTTACAAACTCGATTTTGATGTTATCACATGTCATGATACCGTTTGTTCTCATAATAACATTAAATGAAGATATTAATTCCTAAACGTGGAATTATTAATACTCCCGGTAAAATGATATTTAGAGATATAGTAGATGCTTAAACGCAGGGTACGAAAAACTATAATTGGATAATTATGTATTTATCTCTAATCCGTAATTTTAAATTCAACTTTACTTTACGGCCTACATGATGAGTAATTACCATAGTTGTTACAATGTTGAAGCGAAGGGGACCTTTTTCATGTCGTTGATTTGCCGATCTAGCGTCGACCGTAAATTCTGCAATAACCACTAAGATTATTACTATGACCCGAGTTGCATATAGAGGAGGTGCTTAGCATTTACAGTGCGGATATTGACTACTTATAGGAAGCGCCTAACTTCAAGATTCACCATTAAAATTATAGCGCAATTGAATAGAGCTTTTTCAAAATTGCTTCAATATACAAAGTTACTCGTTCGGCTTACTCTGACTCTATAAGCAAAAGTCTACACTTTTGACATTTAGTTATGATAAAAAGTTTGGGTAGTTTATAGAAAACAATGAGCTACGACTTTTGACTGATTATGACTTATGACTTTTAGGTAGATTTTCGTAAGTGTCCCACGGTCCGTAGAATGCACTACATAGCGACAGTGTCACAACAATCGACTGCAAGCGCAATCGTCGCAACAAGTAGCAGTAGAGCTCCTTTTGAAGGGTACGCGTTTTGCGCACTTTGCGAATCCGAGACTATGCAAATCTTGAAGACTCGGACCCACTTCGGATATCGCTTGTGCACTAAGTCCGATTTGAATCCGAGAAACCACGAATATTGAACGTGAAACCCGTCATTTCTCGGATTCAGAACTGGGGGTCTACTCCGATCTCCGTCCGACATCCGTCCGAAACAATTGCTGCCAAATAAGCAATACTTGACCAAATTAAAAGACACGTGATGGCGAATGTAGCTTCATACTTGATACTTGCTTTTTAATTTTGTCGAATATTAATTATGTGACAGTAATTGTTTCGGACGGATATCGAGAGTAGACCCCCTGAAACGAATTGAACGTGGTGCGCAAACGTGATATAACAGGTACAAGAGACTTATGTCTCAAGGTGACGGACGCAGTGGCAGTGCCCCTAAGATCTTTGCGATTTAAAACTCATCGAGACAAACCCAGGTAGGGTTAAACAGTGCTTTATAATATTTATGTATACTTTTTTCTTTAGACAATAATAAAAAAGCTCTGAGTGACTGCAACTGTCAGGGATGCAAATGTCACTTACCAACAGGTGCACGACTTGTTCGTCCCGTCACTTGGTATTATAAAAAGAAGAGTGCTTGCAAGTCTTGCTTCCTTAGTTTGAACTTTGACTTACCGCTCATATGACCATTTTCATAAGGAGAGTAGTCGCCATTCTCCAGTCGGTGTTTCTTGAAAGGATGTCCAGGGAACTGCGTGGGCGCCAGCGAGAGGCCCACTCCAGAAGCACGCTTCGGAGGTCGGCCCGGCCTGGAGCTGCGGACATAGTAGCACGTTACTGCCGTTTAAGGCGTTACACTTAGCCTATCATTTGTGGGAAAAAAATGGAAATTTATTTCCAATTATGCAATAATTATTGTTATTATACACATTATGTAATAAAAATATTCAAAAATATGAAATCTTGTCAAAAATAGGAGCTGATCAGTATCGATATTTCGATATTATTAGTGCAATCAATAAATATTATTATCAAACGTTTGCACCCTCCACAAACTGCTGCATCTTGTTTTTTTTTATATAACACAATCTCCTATTAATAACTGCAATAAGTTTTACTAACATATAGTCTAATTACAATAAACCTTGAGAAATTAATTATTTATTTATAATGGCTGATAAAAAGCACGTAGGAATACATCAACGTTTCACACAACGTAGCGCGCCAAACCCGTGAGATTTGCTATGACAATTTACTATCTATCAAACGCCACGATCGCTTTGTGCATCTTTAATACCGTGGCAATACAAGCAAAAATAATACAGAGTTTGTTACTAATTAAATTCAATTAATTGTTCAATAGTACAAAGCTTCCCATGCGGTTTCTAAGTGGCGGTTATCTAATAAATCAAGTTCTCGCGTGAGGGTGGCCGCAGATTTATTTTTATTTATTTCACTCCCCCAAGATTTAATACCAGAAGACGTCGAGCGCAGTTTCCACAATTTCACGCTTATTGTTTTCCCATCCGTGATTTATGGACACGTAATAGACAACAGTATATTGGTTGGGCAATAAAGTTTGTCACCTAAATCTTGCCCGTAAGCCTATTGCTCACCTACCTCGTAGAAATGGACCTAACTTTATTATCGTTAGACGAACACCGATACGGAGGTTGTAAACTGATCTGATATTCAGACTAAGTACGCTTTATTGGCGTATAATCGCTATAACCATATGTTTAAATTCATTGTTAATGGAAATCAGTAATAAAGGTCAATAATTCTTGAACAACCATGTACAAAATGGACACAACTCTCAGTAGAAGTAACATGGAAAAGTTTTTCCAAATAGAGGAAATAAGCTTAACTTTCGTAATCGGCATAGCAATGATCAATTACAGTCGTAATCCGCAGTATTACCCCAATAGTGGGCGCATCGCGTCGGCCAAGTTCGGCAATTATCGGGGGAGCTGCTGTTATCATAGTATCGGCTTACGCAGAAACTGACTCTCGCCTATTTATTTTTATGTCAGCAACCGTCATTATGAGACACTCCATTAGCTTGGATTGCGGTGACTCTCGTTTTCGGTTACGCTTTGGGGTGCGATTGTGTTATGACGATTTTTCCATCTTTCCTCATTGGCGTAAGGATTTTGTCGTATTTAAGTGTTATTACTATTCAAAAAGGCTTACATAAGACAAAACAATCCACTGTTAGCTGTTTTTCTTATTAAATTTATTGTTATTACTTGAAATAATTTTGTACACCGTAATTTACATATCGCACGATATCGTCGGGGGGTGGCCGGAAGATTGTGAATGAGACTCGCATAGGACCGATTGAGCTGACGTGCAAAAGAGGAGGCATATACTCAGCAATTGGTGTTTTTCTAAATCTAGCTGAACAATAATGTAAACAGCGTCAATGAACCTCCAAGTATTAAATAAAAAAGCGTTTATTTTTGGTAGGAGTGAATACAGTACCCGACTGTACTGTGTAAAAAACTAAACAAAACCGCGACCGCGACGAAATCGAATATTGAAAGTGTCGAGGGACAGAGATAAGCAAGCACGTGCCGCTCCCTTGCCGGCACTTAGACCATACTTATAATCTGTATACCGCAAAGCGCATGCGATAAACTGCCATTAAAAAGTGTTCGATTTATTACCAATCGATTTGTGTGCGGAATTAAAGGGTATTGAGTCTCAGATGATATAAATGTAAGACGATCATTCACATAAATCGATTTCTTGAAATATCTAAACTTGGATTGGCTTAGAGTGCTCCATCATGAAAACGTTCAATTAAGTATAATATACATATATAATAATGGTTTAGGTATAATTGAAAACTTAAAAATTCAAGTGTATGTATGTTATGAAAGACAAACATTTATTACATAACATATATATTATTATTAACATATATTATTTATTATAACATATATTGATCGCCAACTCGCAAAACATCAAAGCAGATTCGTATAAAAACAAACTACTCTTTCTCCGAACAACCCCAGTGAAACTTACACCGACGATAGTTTTGCTTTTTGTTATATTTGCCTGGCAATATTCATCACTCACCGCCCGTGTCACTGATCAAATAGCACCCACAAAGGAGTCCCTAGATATTTCTGACAGATATACCCTTGATAGATAGCTTCACAAACATAGTTCGCAAATCCTGATCAATAGCGTCAAATGTATGGCGAACATTTGAATTTGGGACAAGAATGCAACTTCTGGTGAGGTCATAATTTTACGTAGATAGAAACCAACGTTATCCCTAATATTTCGAAGACGTTAAAAGCACACGTAAATTATTAAGAATCCAAACATCGTCAACGCTACCGACAAACTATGAATAGACTCAGGAGTCTTTGTTATTGTATTTGTATTTACCATTCTCTTAGTGGACGTGTTCACACTCACTACCAATTACTGACACTAAATCATAACGTCCACGTGGAGTAAACATCCTTTCTTACAACGAAGGAGTTTAAAAAAGCGAAAAGACCAAAAGCATCTCGCTGACAGCCTATCGTAAGCTAATAGTCATAATCTGTATATATTTTCTGTTTTTGTTTCTTGAACGTCCGATTATTTACACGTACCACTACAACCCGTATGGGAATGTTTACATATTAAATTAAACTCTTTTTAAACCGTTTGTTCATCTAAAAATAATCTTTGTGCTCGTAGATTGTTCAAATTTTAAATTGAATCTAGTAACAAGTGATGAAGGTCTAGTTTATGAAGTTGTTATTTGGAAAGAGTCTTCCATTTTAAATTCAGTGGCACTGAAGTTGTAACATTTGACTCTTTGTCGGAACTTTGTCGGCTACAGTTTGATGGTTCCCGTTCAAAGGATTTCAAAGCTTTTCTACTTCATGAACGTCTACAGCCTGGAGTAGTTTATAATGTGCGTAGTAAAAGATAATGTCATCGACTTCCTTCGCTAGTCTCAAACACCTTATTTCCTTTTCAAAATTTAAATGCCCTCGGAAACACCACGTCTTGGCTTTATATTTAACAATGGTGCTCTGTCTTAAAAATGGCTCACGAATCGGTCCACAAGGCAAAACAAACGCACGTAATCTTATCTACGATAAACTCAAGCGCAGTAGCAGTTTGTCTTGGGTTCACTATAAACATGATAAATGATTTCGGTTATAAAAAGCGTTGGTGTATTTTTCTTAACGAGTTCCGGTGGGTGCGAGATGGATTCTTTCCTTGAATAGAAACCTATTCACCTTGAGAAGTACCTGAGGAAGAAGAGAGATCTAGGTTATTGACCTTGTTCATCTTTGAACTCATACTATTTTAATTAACGCATTGTTTTACTTCTCCGAGACCTTACAAAAACTATAAAGGTTGGCACATCTGCAGAATGCGCTATTATACTTTGTCAGGTCTGCGATGAACTTTGGACCATTAAAAACAATGTTTTAATAAAATAGCAGAAGAAAAATTATAATTGAAGCCAAAAATTAGAGGGCACATAGACAGTAACAATAAAAACTGAAAGCAAAGCCGCGTTTAATCGTGTCATAAAAATAAAAATTAAATAAAAAATGCTTAGGGGTGGAAAAGTTTAGCGACCGTAATTCAGCTTTACAATTATTTCATTTCGGGCCGGGGCAAGATGCTGCTAATATTTACCTGTCCCTAGGGCACAAAGCCCTTGTTATTTATACGGTTGAAAATAATTTAATTTTTTTAATGAAACTATTACAACAAAAATGCCTAGTTTAAAGACATAAAACTTCTTACTACAAAACAATATAATAGAGAACCATTGTACATGACACAAATTAAATCAGTTACTATTCCGATAAAAAATGTTTTAGACAATAAATAAACTACAAGGAAAACTAAATTGGATGTTAAGTACAATTCTTTTTATCATAAAAATGCTTCGTTTTGTTATCACTATTGAAATAATAATTGCTATTACGAGTTCTATATGAGGCAATAGACTAGCTACTGTGTGTACAAAAGCATAGTTAGTTAAAAGTAATTCGTGGTTGATTGTACCATCATAACTTAATGTAGCAAGTCACCGCAACAGTCAGGTAGCGGCTACGTTTCAATATCTCCGAGGCATTTTATTTACAAAACTAATTACGTTTGTCTGATGGGGTATTAAACAGCTCCCGGAGATTCTCTTGATTCGTTGACAGTTAATAAAGACATTCCAAAAGTATTTAAGTTCTGAACCTATTTCATCTGAGATTTGATCGCTTGATGAGGAAATGTTATTACGGTTCGTGTATTTTTTGTTCTCTTTTCCGCGTGTTACTGTAGTTCAGTTAATCGTGATGGAACAAAAATGGTCTTAGACCATCACGATTAACGTAACAGAGTGAGGTAGGTGTATAAGAAAATAGTTTAGATTGTAGTGTTTTTTAATTTTATTGCTGTTGGCACGAACATCATTGTCGGCACGCCACATGGTCCGGCAAATTGAAATGTCCAAACACTGAATTATGTTGCTTCTATGACTGTTTTTCTTTTTTATTGCGTCCATGAGACGTGCAACTATTGGTCAAACACATTTGACAAGTTAATGGGTGTGTAACACATTGTAATCAAATACCTATATGAGTTGCAGAGTGTAATACCACTACACTCTATGGTAAGCGTTTTAAATGGTCTGCATTTTTTGAAAATATGAGTATTATATCGAGTTCTCAGGTTTTCGCGATTGTTACACATAGGAAATGAAACTATTTTTTTTGGATTTAAATCGCGTTTATTTTGTTTTTCAAACAAACCAACGTTTCGGTCCCTTTGCTGTTGATTTTTTTTTTCCAATTAGTATTCCCATTTACGCTACAAATGTTTCATAAATAATTTTATTTTAGTGATATAAATAAATATTACAGTAGTAGTAGAGCTCCCTGTGAAAGCTTTCGTCCAGGGAAGTACTGTCACCTTACCTATTTCTGCCGCCAAGCAGTAATGTCAGCATTACTGTATTTCCGTTTTATAGGATAAGCGTGTGTACGCACTGCATCCAATTCGTATTCGTTTCGAATCCGAGACTATACAAATTTAGAAACCTCGGACCCACTTCGGATGTCGCTTGTGCACTACGTCCGAATCGGACTTAGTGCACAAACGCTCGGGTGCTGGTGCAATGACAGGCACATGGGACTTGTCAACTTGTCTCAGGGTGACGCGCGCAGTAGCAGTGCCCCTCAGATCTTTGCGATTTAAAGCTCTGAGTGGCACTGCAACTGTTATGGATAGGCGTGTAGCTTACCATCAGGTGCACAACTTGTTTGTCAGTTGATATTATAAAAAAAAATTATTATTAATTATGAATGGTAATATGAGTAAATTAAACATATTAATTAGTACTGCAGTATTATGTCTGTTTAAGATTTTTTCATCAGAGGAACTATTGGATCCCAAACTGGTGATATGGAGAAACGATGGTTTCTCAGACGGGTTCCCTGTTGATTAAGAATTTTTTTAATTTCAATGGCCTCTCGTAGTATCCTGAGTCGATAACGGGTTCCTTTTGCAAGGACCTGGGGTTTGTCGAACTTACTTCAGTCTGCAGGTTTGTCCATGACATGCTCGCAGACTGCAGACCTTACAAATATACGCGATTTAGATCCAAAAAAATAGTTTCATTTCCTATGTGAAACAATTGCGAAAACCTAAGAACTCGACACTTTAAATTTAAACATTTTTAAATTTAAAATTTTATAAAGTAATAATTTTATGTTCTCTGTGGAGAACATAAAATTATTACTTGCATACAGATATGTTTATGTTACTACAAATGAGGTATTACTACAAGAGTAGCGGTAACATTAAAATGTGAAATATTAATTGTAACAGGAACGGCTTCGTCCCCGACATCCCTTTCGAATGTTGGGGCATAATCAGCCCTCGAGGGACAACCTCTTGTAATTACCGGCTGTTCATTTCTTAATTTCAATATTTAATTACAAAGGAAACTCGACGAGTGCTCCAATAGAAAGAGACGTCATCCTCAGAAAGACTCGCGAATCCGTTTTTGTTTCCATTCGTGTTTCATGAAGGCTTCGGGATTGTTTCTTTGTTTGATCTTATCAAAGGATACTTTTTGAGCTTTTAATTAAAGTTAATATCATCTTGTATTATCTTTCGAATATTTTGATTTCAATTGGATTCTTTTTGGTGTTACAGTAATCGAATGCAACAGTGATCTATACTCGTATTGCCACAATCTTACAATATGAGCTTCCAAAGCTGAGACGTCATCTGTGTAACTTTATCGTGCTTTGAAGAGCCGTCTCAGAATTTCCTTTTGTCCCACCCTATTGTCAAAGCGGTAATAACTCGAGACATATTATCGTTTTATTTCGTTCCTCCGTCCACTATGAAATTCTCTTTTTAACTATTACCTGTCTTAATTATTTAATTTTATCCACATTTCACTTGCATAAGCTGTAAAAGATTTGGAAGTATATACCCATTTATTTTCTATATTTTTATGTGATGTATATATGTCGGTACATACAGTACATATATACTATGTAGTGTATATACTATGTTTCAGTACTCATGTGTGGCCCGCAACGATAACAAAATAAGTAACATCTATTGAGTGATTTTGACTGCATTGTACTGCGGGAAAGTGAAATTTGTTAATGATTTTCCCGTTGATGGTATTTTTCATTGGGCACTTTTCAATTGCCTCAGCGGCAATGCGTGGGTTTGGCACGTTTTGTTTGCAGTCGTTGATGCCCGCTGGCTCGGACATGGCCATTCACGCGACATGTGCCCCACACAATTGTTTTGTGTAAAATTGTACAATTTCTGGACGGGTGACCACGCTGCTCACACGTTATAATCTTTTAGGGCACGCCCTACGTATTTTAAATGGATTTTTTTGATTAAACCCTGTCAGAGACATGGTTTCTAGATAGGAAATTTATTAAGTAGTAACGATAATAAACAAAATAGCAATTTAAAAACTTCAACATCATTCTGCAAATTGATATCTGGAAACATTTTTTGCCACCGGCGCTATGCCGCATTTTATCAGGTTTTGCCTAAAAAGGTTTTAGTTTTTTGTGTTTATATTGAGTGCAGTACAATTTCATTCCCATTTCGATATTCAATAGTTTTCTATTTATATTGACACGCTTCATCGAAAATAATCAAAAAGATTTGCTACCGTTCCCGGCGTTCGTGCTTTTTTCTCTAAAACGACCTTTTGTTGGTCTTCAAAAAGGTAAATTGCTACCTGGCCAATCAGTAGCTCGCTAGCACATTTGGTTAGTTTTAATTAATTTCGTCAAATTCTGTCGGCAATGTTGTCGAGTCATAACCCATCGGCGGCTTTTAAAAATAGAACATTTAAAAAGCTAGTTTTTCATCGGACGCCATTAGAGAGACACTTGAAAGATAAACGCAGTTACATTTTGAAACGTTCCAAAAACCGAACGTTCCTTTTTTTGTACCTTTACCATGAGTTTATAGTGACAGTTGTCACTAGCGATCGCTTAAAGTAATTGTGTACATTACTTATACACAATGTTCGTCAGTTAGGGCGATACTATTTAATACACAAAATTGTTTAACATTTTACGCGGTCGCCAGCGACAACTGTCACTGTAAACTCATGGTAGAGGCACATATATTTTATGTTAAGATGATGATTTCATTCTTTTACTACATCGAAATGAACGCAAGGCTAAATGTTTTATTACAATATTAATAACACAAATAACTGTTGTGCAATGTTTAGCTTCATTTTTTGTAATGTTTGAAGGAAAACGAAAATAATCAAACAAGTGAGCGCAGATCTGAAACAGAATAGATCCGGACGTGTGATAGTTCAGTGTCGAACGAAAATAAACGTTATGATTTTTTTTAAAACAGATTATTAGGAAAACAACAGCGCTGTTGACGAGATATACAAAATATCGGAACACTAAAACTGTTGAGTTTGCGTCGAAATATAATAATATCTTGTTTAGTGCTTATTTTAAAATTAATGATTAGTCAGATATTTGTTTCAGTTTGATGGAATAATTTAATTTTAAAATTTGACTCATACATAATAACGATTGCTACGAACTAGTGCTATATTTTTCATCTGACTTTTAATTTACGAGTTGATATCTATGAATATCGGTATACCAAAATATAAATAGGAATTTCAAAATAAACAAAACTAATTCATAAATCATCACATAAAGTTAAATTCAGACTACATGAGTAGTGAGTACATCTGAAAAATCTTTTGTTTGATCAGAAC